AACACAATATTTTATAACTTAGAAGAGGGATGCCGTAATCCAAGCTATAAATATTTGAAGCTAGGTGAATGACGATTCACCAAGTTCCACCATGAAAAACGAAATAAATTATTAGGTTTTAATTGGTTTTGAAACTCCTAGACTCTTTGAGATTCATTGAACTTTTTAATTGCATGTTTCAATCTCGAGTGTGCCCTTCAGGTTTTGTGACTGGGATGCCGAGGATCACAAAACAAGGTGTGAAGTAACCATGCAAATTACTTGGTACCCTCAATATTTACCCCTCAATCGATGTACCGGTTAACCACACACGCTCCATCGATACTATGATAAATATTAAGTTACCATTTGCCTACCTTGTTAAGTCCAGGTTAGTGTACCGGTTAACCACACACGCTCTACTAACGACTTAATCAAAGTGCAAAGTGTAATTTCATGGGTTAGCACCTTATTCACATTTTCCTAAAGTAACTAAGATTGGGAATTTATAAAACATTTAGTTACTTTATTTTTCATCATACTTTTAATGAAGACTTAGAAGTCCTTGTCCTACCCATTCGGCTAACGACCCTCCACCAGTCAAGGAAGCGGTGGGTGAGAGTGGACACCCATTAAGCTGTCATTTTATAGGCAACAACCTTATACCCCCTTATAGACCGGCTTCGTGAATGAGGTCTAGTAACGGTAAAACGACTTGTTCTTATATATATATATATATATATATATATATATATATATATATATATATATATATATATATATATATATATATTATTAACTTATAATATTATAAAGTATAAATGTTGAATTTTAGCTTTTAAAATTCTAGGGGTTGGAACTAAAGTTTTTAAAGTGACTTTACATGTTCCAAAACTCGAGGGCAAGTTTTGTAACTTTCAAAACTTTTCATCTTTCATAACTTATGAGTTAATGATGTAATAAAATGAGTGACTTTTCATTTTATGTAACCTATGTGTTTCTTTAATGGACTTTATAAGAAAGACTTTTGGTAATCCATAACTTGAGGACAAATTATGGATTCCATTAAAACACATAATGATCAAGAATTAAACTAACAAGCAAGTTACATATAATTCCTATGATCTTCTAAACTCATAAGTTCATGAATGTTTATATCAATAATTTCAAGAATCATAAATAAACCATATAAAACTTGAAATTTTGATAATAGCTATTGAAAATGGATTAGCATAACCATTACACCATCTAAAACAAGTTTTATAACACCAAAACAGTTTAGGGTAATGTTTCTAGTCCATTTCCAGCAGCAAAGCTCCAAAAACTGCTCACTGGATGACAAACTCGTCGAGTTCATCAAGGAACTCGTCGAGTTCATGTAATAACTCATGAACTCGACGAGTTTCCTTGTCTGGGTAGTTTTTGGCTTTTGAAAGACAAGTTTGCATCAAGTATCAAATAAACAAGCCTAGGTTCTGATACCACTGAAGGGTTTTGAGCATTTTAACACTCCTAAGGTGTACATGCAACCCTAGAAACCTTGGATCTATGTTTTACTATGATACATGCAATTTTTATTTCCAAGGTTTATATCCTATCTAGCATACATGGTGAACTTTTCAACATAAAAGTAAGCAAGAAAACATACCTTGTAGTAGTTTGGATTCCTTGAAAACCTTGTGAGCCTAGCACCTCAAGTGTGATGCCTCAAATGTCTCACACAACACCAAATGCACTTGGAATAACTTAGAGAGAAATGAAGAACACTTAGAAATCGGCTAGCCCTCACTTGTATATCTTAGTGACCGATTTTGGTGAAGAACATGAAGCTTATATAGTGTGTTACAATTAGGGTTACACCATGTAAACCCTAATTGTCATGACTTTTCATTTCCATGATCCATGAAGCATCCTATTGGTTTTTGCCCAACTTGATAAACCATGGAGCATTAGCCCACTATACAAGTATGGATGATTTACACAATCAACCCATATATTTAATTAGTCTTCTTTTGATCACTTAATTAATTCCAAATTAATTCTTGATCAATACTAATTAAATAATATTATTAATATATTAGTACTTATAATATATTAATACACCTTAAGTGATATTTCTCTCATTTTAGTCTATCCAAATGCATGATGCCATGCAACCCAAATGGACCATGCTAATCGGGTCAAGTACATTCCAGAAATAGTTATGAACTTAGACACCTAATCCAACAAAATCAAACAAAAGACAAATACATTTAATGCATAAAGAAAAATTACGGATTCCGGAACAACAAACATTCCGAACACAAAGTTCTTTCCGGAATGCCTTCACTCTCTTTCTTCACATCACCAACTTAACATCAGGTACGGACACAGACAGATTCCAGAGCAAACTTCACTTCGGAACTACAGCTGACTTCAGAATTGACAAAAGGATTTAGGATTGTTAGAGGTTCACTTTCAGGTTCCAACAAATGCTTTTGTCCAAAACTTGAGGTTAGTGACACCAATTGGAGATGTTATCTATTCATTTAATAACTAAGTCAATAATGCGAGCAACAACGAGACGAAAGACGGTGCTGGAAAAGATGAGTAGTATATCTTGTTTTATGTTATGGATGATGGTACTATCGATTTATTAGATTCTTTATGGATTGAATTAGATCGTTTATGGATTGTAGTATATTTTGTTTTATGTATTTGATGGTTTATGTAATGAATATTTGTAGATTATAATTTTCTTATTTTTATTATTTATGCATTTTCTAATACAAATTATATAAAATTTAAAGTTTATAATAACAAAAAAAACATTAGTAGAGACACCTTTTGCGACAATTTGCCTCATTTGCGACGAATTGTGCCTCCGACAACCTTGGCCGGAAAAGCTTCGGCCGTTGTACCAAAATAGTAATAGTGACGATCTCCTTTGTGGCAACAGGCTTTTTCAGCGACGACAATTATTAGCGATGACTCTAATAGCGTCAATTTCTGAGTATTAGATACAGAGCAATAATGACGATCCAATTGCGACGACATGTTGTCCCTAATACATTTAGCGATGATTTCTTGTATCAATTGCAACGACTATCGTTGTTGCTAAAAGTGATTTTTTTTGTTATGTAGACTAGTGGAGTCTTGGATGATTGATTGTTTGTTATATGTTTATTATGAGATGATGACTGAGCCATTAGCTGACATGCCGATGGGGCGAGGTTTCATGAAAGTGGTCGTGAGTAGATATCACGAAAATGGTTGTGAGTCTGCAACTGTATGCATAGTTTCTATAGTGAAATATATAGTGTGTTGGGAAACTCATTAAATTTTGTGCTTACATATTAAAGTTAAATGTTTTCCAGGAAGTTTTGTTGACAAAAGGAAAGACACAATTCGACTGTATACATATCTAAAGAGTTGTTATGATTTTGATCTCTACAAAAATTTATGCTTTTGACTTGATTGATGATATTAGAAACAATTTGGTACTTAATATCTTTGTATGAAAATTAATTTTGGTTAAAATTTTTGGTAACATTACATGCTTTTTGTCTTTTAAAATAATAGGCAACTTACCTTTAGAGAAGCTGGAAAGAGCGCCTTGCATGCGATGAAAAGAATGGTTGTAGTTCTATTCTTGTTATGCTCTACATTTTTGTAGATAACAATACCCAAATTAATGAAAGGAATAATTGGAGTTTGATTCTTGTTATGCTTCATCTTCTTTCATTTCAAGCAAACAACCCAATCGATGATTTTATATCTCTTTAACTTTGGTTGATTGGTCAATAAGAACACATTTAATAAAAAAATTGAAAGCTTTTTAATAGTTAAGAACTAATATATAAATTTATTTTAATAAGATTTCCATAATATGTTGTTTACCCAGTGACTTGATTGTGAATCTTATATAAAACTTCATTGGTGGGTGACCAAACATAAACAGCAAACTTAAATTACACAAATTAGTTACTAATTAAAATGTACATTGTAAATAATACCATGTTCAACTTTTGTGAAATCCCCGTAATAGTTTGTGCATGTACAAATATATGAATTTCATATGCAAAATTATGAACTTTATATAAAAGTTTAGCGGCTTATACATCAACGGGAATTGAAGCTCATGCAATAATTTATTATGTATCTTATATCAAATTTCAACTGATTATTCATCTACGTGAACCTAGTTGAGCAAATATAATAACTTTCGTGAATTTCAAATATGGTTTGTGCTATAACTTTAAATAAACTAATTGTTTATATAATTATAAAAAGTTATCATCAGTTTCCCCTTCTAACGAAAACAACTCGTATTTTTTGTGTCTTATTTCAATCATCAGCAACTTCAGTATTTTATTCCCTCCTTCGGTGATTATTTTGGGAGTTTCTTTGGTGTTTGTAACTTAAAGCATTAGTGCATTACAAATACAATTAATAGGAAAGCAAATATGGATGTATTATTTATTTTGAAATTTGTTGGTGGGTTATATTGAAAAAGGAAAGTACGGGGCTTCATGTGAACCTCTGTCAACTTATTATGTATAAACATTGGGACCACTTCTCATGTGCAAACATTTGCATTTTTACTATTAACAAGTTGAGCATGAAAGCTTGTATTTCAAATTTCAAATCGTGTCCAATATGCATCAATTAAAATAAGAATGGATTTTCGAGTAAAAGAAAACAATTAAGTGGTTTTTTTTAAGGGATTTAATTGTCATGACATGGTTCCGCTAACAATCCATAAAAAAGACATATTTACTGACTAGATATCCACACATACTTTTAACGATACATCTTCATACTAAAGTAGTCATTTTTGCATGTCAACATAAATATATACGTACTATTGCTGATATTTCCGATCAAAGATTCTCTTGGTTTTTTCATGGGCAAAAACATTTCTGCGTAACATGTGTCACCAAGAATATCTTATTAAACATTGATGTTACAATGTATAACAAACGAAATCCACACTTGTATTTGATCGATGCCAAAAATGATTAAAACTATAGAGATATGAATTACCTATGACACACACATCTATAATGATAAGCACTATTTCTTGGATCATTCCCTTCAACCGGAACTTGCTCGGCTCTACACCTGTACCGACAACCTCTGCATTCGTTGAACGTACAAGTTGGTATCACTGAACCAATCAGTGCTCGTCTCTTGTTCAAATGCAAATGCAATCCTCTTCTCGATGTGAAAATCTCTCCTGAAACCCCTGAAAATAACATATAATGTTGAATGGATGCACATATGTAGTGGCGGATTCAGTTCATAAGAACGGGTGCAGTCAATTCATTTTTTTAAAACCAAGACAAATTTCATTGAACAACTAACTATGGAGAAGCTAGGAGTATAGACCAAGAACAGAATGGAGTGCATTCAGCTCATTACAATGGTGTTGCATGAACCCCATTTGCAAGTGGGTTCCATTACAATGGCGGTGTATATTTGGAAGTGGGTTCCATCCACCAGATTTTTTATTAAAAAAAAAATTAAAAACCTCTTTGCTGAAAAACCTCCTCTATGGCGACCTCTTTGATTGGAAAACCCAATAAAAGTCCTCAAAGTTTAAGTTATTTATTTATTTATATATGATGGAGAACTACTAATTTTCGTTCAGCATCGATCGGCAGATGGGATCCTTCAAGAATAACAAAAGAAAGGTTGTATGCCTAGATAAGAAACAACACAACCAAAGCCAAAACAAATAATTAAAATGAACACATTGATATCCTAACTGCTTCGACCTTTTAAAGTCTGTTCCGCATAACGGAGACACTCTACATCTCAACTCTCTAAAATACACTGACAACTTTTTAATTCACAACTTTTTCTATCTTCTCATAAGAAACCTTAACTTGAACCATATTTAGATATGATAAACATAATCATTTTTAATGTGGATAAAAGCAAATTAGTAAAACCTTTTTAATATGAACTTTGAGTCGTTTACTGAAATAATAATAATAAAGAGGGTGATGGAGAGAGTGACCTTGGAGCACAAGTGTAGCCCAAATGAAATAGAGGAGTAAATTGGGGTTGGCCATTGTTGCCTAGTAATTGGTAATGAAGTTGAAGGGAGGGTGTTATAGGGTTTAATAGGAGTGGGAAAAAAGGAAATTGTATTTTGTGGTCAAATTGGGACCATAAGGAGATAGAGTGATATTCTGATAAAACAAAATAGATAGAAGTATTATTTTATTTTTCATTCATCATGTAGTCGTATATTTTTTGTTTAAATTGTCTGGTCATATGTTTATTGTTTTATAAATATTTCTGGCTCAATAATAGTTAAAATGTCTGACATTTTTGCAATTTATCCATCATGAAGTTGTATACCCCGGTTGGTCATCAAATTTTGAATATATATATATATATATATATATATATATATATATATATATATATATATATATATATGTAACACAATTGTTATGATTGTGAAAAAGTGTGTGTATATAAAAATATTATCATTTAAAACATGAATCTTCAACATTTTTTTTTCCAATTAATTCATGTTTTTTAATCATTTAGTGATTCACTGTGTCAGTTCGCCACACAAGAAATTTTCTAGAAATTATGCTCATTTAATCTAGTTCTTCAATGGATATACTACATTGTTTCTGGTCCTCGGCGATAATAAGAGTCCGTCAAACACCTAGGCGGCCTTACAATGTGTTGATATTTTCTTTCATCATGTGAGAAATCAAATATATTCATACATCTTGTTCCTATTCAAATACCCATCTTTTTACTTATTAGATGAAGACAAATGTAAAAATTAAGAGAGGAGAAAGAAATTCAATGAATTTCAGGTGTCATTATTTTATATGAATAAAAATAAAAGATAAAAAAATATTTAATTTCTTAGACAAAAAATATATTTATCTGATTTAAACCTTCCAGGGGCTTTACTAAACAGGGTAAAATTTTAAAGTAGTTTCAGGGGTAGACATGGTAGGATGTTCGCCAAATTATCATATCAATCATGAATCCTAGTTCGCCAACACAGGGTTGAAGTCTTTAAGTTGTTCTTTTTCTGGAGAGTGCTTAATTGCCATTGAGGTCCCTAGTTGACACAGCCTCTTTTTTGGACTAATTCATGTAATTATTAGTGTATTTTTGTGAAATTACAAATACACCCCTTGCCTTTCTTGCACATTTCAAAAGTGTACGAGGGATAAATAAGGATTTTACTTGGTAGAAGCATCAATATAGCATAGTTCATGCATGTAATATCACATGCAGAAACATTAAATTATGACCTCACTAAAAGTAAATAGTTGAATATACTGTTGATCCTTTTAACATTATATGCAACCGTCTAATATAATGATTTTATATGAAATAAAAATGAGCTTGTGTTGATTGCAATGAAGTTTCTCATTGTTTCTGGAATTGTAATTATTATGTCGCTCCTAACAGGTGTTGGTGGAATCTTTGTTTTTTTTCAATGACAAATCTAACATATTCCTATCAAACTAAATCTAGTATCACATATGTCCCGGATAGGATTTGAACCCTCAACCTCATGAAGAAATGACAACACCTGGTACCACTGAACTAAAAGCCCTTTGGTGCAATCTTTGTTCTTATACAAGTTAGAAAATATGATTAAATGCAATAAAAATATGATGGAAAAAAGTTCGATTTTCTTTTTTCCTCTTGATATGTTTTTGCCAATATATAATAGTTTTAGTTGTTTGCAGGGGCGGATATACGATTTCATAATAGGGATTGGAAAAAAAAAATCGAAATTTTTGCACTACGTACAGACAACAGGCGTTGCCGATGCCACTATAGGCACCCATACAAAACCGCCCCCGGTTGTTTGGTTACAATAGCAAGAAAAAATATGTTGGAAAAATGGGTTTTTCTTTGATGATGAATTTAGAATGAATAACAATGTGGTTTCTTATGTAAATGAAACGGAAAAAAAATGAAAGAGTAAAAGATACTAATGGTGGTGGGTCAGGTCGTATGCCTTACAATGTTTAAATGACTTTAATAGTTATAATAAAGTTCTTATAATTGAACCATATGAGGTCTATGACGGTGGCCGGTGGGATTGATCGATTAGGCTGCCGGCAACGTGATGAACTGATGATGCATGCACTGTTTGGATGTGGCTAAGTGATCCAGATCTTCAAGCGACCTTTCGTGAGGATATTTTTTCATCTTTTTTTTTAAATGGTTTAAACTATTGCCTTATAAATAACTTTTAAATGAATTAAGGTATTGGACTATTATTAGGCATGTGCTTTAATGATAACTAGGAAAAGGCCCGTACGTTGCACGGGTGAAAGTTTAGTGGCAAAAATATAAAGAAGTAAAAATAAAATGCCAAAATTATAAAGAGTAAATGTTTGTTGAAACTTTAGTGGCAAAATTATAAAAAAGTAAAAATAAAATGGTAAAATTATAAAAGAATAAAGAAAAAGGGTTTTAAAGAAGTAAAAGTGAAAGTTTAGTGGCAAAAATATGAAGAAGTAAAAATAAAGTGACAAAATTATAAAAAGGAAAAATTTGTTGAAACTTTAGTGGCAAAATTAAGAAAAAGTAAAAATATAATGTTAAAATTATAAAAATGGAAAGTTTCCTGTTGAAACTTGTCATGTGCTTTAATATATATATATATATATATATATATATATATATATATATATATATATGTATATATATATATATATAGTTATGTTCCAATGAGAACATTTTTCCCGTGAGAACATTTTAGAACATTTTTTAGCCTATTAGTTTAAAAAAACACGCGTTTTTGTTTTCTAATTTCGTTCGGGGCTATTTCAATACTAAAAGCCCTATCCACCTACCCCCAACCCACCCCCACCACCCACTTCGATCAATTCTAAAAGCGTGTACTTTCACTCCAGAACCACAACACCACCACATAGACCACCGGGAATCGCCGTCGCCGGAACCACCGCCTCTTCGCTCCGATTCTCTCTCCTCATTGAAGATTATTGTGCGTTTAAAATCCCTCTGCCATTATTAAGTGACTTTGGGAGCCAAAAGCGTGTACTTTCACTGTCGCCATCTCTATTCTACTGACTATGGCCAAACGTAGGTCCTTCTCTGATCAATTACCTAGGGTTTCGAAAGGTGATTACAATCGATTCAACATTGAGGCACTTTTGGATTCGTTATGTGATGTCCCTGATTCCGCTTTAATTGACGCCACATTCGAATTTAGGTCTACCGATTCCGATCAAAACAATTTTATCCAGCGTGTTCTCCACCTTAGATCCGTCCTGCTCGAAGCTGACAAGAGATTCCTTCATAAACACTCCTCCGTCCGTGATGCATTCGTCTGGCCTTTCCCTGCCGACCTCGCAATCAAGGTATTTCCATTTCTATTTTGATCTGTTTAGTATTCGTCTGGCCTCTCCCCGCATTCGAATTCAAGTTGCTTAAAATCAATTGTTATTGCAAGATGATCGATTTTGGAATATATATGAGGTCTGCTGATCAGTTTCTCTACCAAAACTGTAGATGATGATCTTTACAAAACACGGGAACATATGATTTTCAGTTGGAGTTATGTTTTATTTCCATTTAGAGATGAATTATTTTTAACTTTCAAACTTCAGTTAGAATAATAAAAAAATGATTGCAGCCAAAATGGCACTTTTTTCACTGATAAATAATAGTAGTATCAGAATTTGCTTTCAGTATAAATAATATGGGTATCTATCTAAAAGTGAAATCTTTTGATGTTATATGTACTTGGGTATGGATTCTGCATTTATGCTTTAAATTTTGGAGAATAATCGATTAACTTAGCATATTCAGTTCTTACTGTTAGTCAAATTAGCATGTTCAGTTCTTAGTTCTTATTGCTGGTATGTTTTCCAATTTGTTACTGATTATACATGCTTGATAAAATATTAAATTCTTCCTCATTGCAATACATCCAAATGCAATGAAAGTACATTCTTTTTTTGCTATGTAGTTGATTTTTTATGTCCATCATGATATTTCTAATGTCCCACAGGTAAGTAATTTTCGTCTCGTCTATTTCAACTTGGACATGGTTCAGCTACCATACCATATAATTGCTATCAAACTATTGTATCATGTTTATTTCCATATTTACCCCCTCGCCTAACCTTGATTACAATAAATTCTTGTAGATGTCCAATAAAGTTTATAGGCTGCATCTGAAAATCATTGAATAGGCTGAGAAAGTAAGTTTAGCCAGTTTCTTTTATGGCTAAACTTTTCAATTTTACCTATTTGACCTTTTATCTATAAACTATTTGTTAAAATCGACCGTTTTTTCACATAAAAGTGTTGCTTATAAATTATAATCATTAAATTTTCAATGTAAATTTGATAGTTTTTTATAATTTTTTCGATGCAGGCATGTTAGCTACAACGCTTGGAAGATATCGGTCAAAACCGAGAATGTACACAGGATGTATGAAATTTGGACATGTTCTCTCCCAAAAGTAATTCATTTTCATTCTTTATTATTATTATTAAAAGACCACAATACCCTCATTCTATATTTTAAAATTTTAAAATACAAACATTTTAATTACTATAAAAAAGCTTAAATATTATACAACCTTTATTCATATTAATCACATATGATTTATGTGATCAAATCATAAAACCACCACCATTACTCACCACCACCACCCGCCACCACCAACCACCACCACCATTCATGACCACCCGCCATCACCCACCCGTCAACACCACAACCACCCACCACTTACCATAACCACCACTACCTGTCAGCCCCACCACCCTTCACCACCATTACCACCCACCACCACCACAAACCAACTATCACCCACGACCCCCATCACTTACTACCCATGACCACCATCAGTCACCACGACCCATCACCACCCTACCCTAACTCCACTACTACCACCACCTACCATTATACATCTCTACCGTAGGACCACCACCAATTACCTACAACCACCAACACTATATGTGATTAAATTCATATAATGGCATAAATCATGTGTGATTATATGTATTTAATCACATAAATCATACGTGATTAAATACATATAATCACATATGATTATATATATCTA